ATATGTAACACTGACTCTGTTACCTAAATTTTATAGTTAGATCATATTCAATCTACTTATTAAACTGTGTTGTATTTACCAGTGGGATTTTCTGCAGTTGTTTTGCGTTTCACTGTAAGGGTAATAGAGTTCCTCTCCTCTGCTTTCCTCAGAGGATGGCCCTTTAACATAGCCTGAGATAAGTCCTATGATTTAAAGGTGAACTGTGAGAATAGGACTAATTGACATGCATCAATTTACAAAGACGGTCTTATCATCTGAGAATGCACCATCTTTTTCTCTAGATAATTATTTATTACATCTTGCTTGGTTCCTACATTTTGTTGGGTGTCAACATTGGCTAAAGAATGCTGTTAATATTTATTCTGTATTGATAAAAAGTCTGTCTTGCCATGATGAGTAAATCCCCCAATTAATATTTACTTCTCTAGCATATCACTGTCGGTTGTTTTTTTTTTTTTGTGAAAATGGTTGTTTATTTATTATAATACTGAGTCATATAAATTTTCAATAAAAGCAGAAACTTTCTTACCTTAAACACTGCTGCTACTTCCTTGCGCTGAAAACTTGACACTGGTTTCAGTGAAAGTTTGTGTATCCATAAGACTTTTCATGTTGAAAAAATGGTCCTGTTAGTGCAGGACAAGGACAGGATACTGGGCTGTATTTGGAGCTGAGTAAGTTTATACCATGCCACAGAGGCTCTGCTGAAGAAGTGTGAATTCGAACTGAAGAGCAAAGCATTCAGTCATATTTTCTTAAGCAATGTAAGCTATTTTTTTTGTAAAGGGCTCTTTCTGTTGTTAAGGATTTAAGGAAATTTGTGATTCCATAGCACTTAAAAATTATAGTTCCATGAATCATCCATGTTGTTATTTTCCCAATGTTATAATTTTAGAGTCATGAGAAAGAACCATGACTTTTGATAACCAGCAAGTCTGGGGTGCTGAAGTCAAAGGAAAAAGGATGAGGTGGGGTGTAAGCATATGCAAGGGTTTGTGTGTGTGCATGTGTGTAAACCTAGGCAGGGGAGAAGGGAACTTTTTAACAAGTTCCAGCTACTGAAAAAAACGCACAATTTTAAGGTAGCTTCCATCACTCCTCTTCAGAGCTGCTGGTAACAAAGAAAGCTCATCAATAAGTCTGAAAACAGAATACAGGCCACTAGTATTTATACTTTAGTCTAAATCGCACATATACCTATACACACATACAATATATGTATATATACACACAAATATTTACACATACACAAATTCCATTCGAGAAGTATGCAGCCGCATTGACTTGCTTATCTTTCAAATGATAATTAAAGCTTGCTAACTTTAGAATTCCTCCATGAACAGGATTTTAAAAAGTTATTGAAAAGTTATTGGAACTAAATGTAATCAGACCTTTGCCCTCTTTTATTCGAGCCGGAAAGTAGAGCAAGCTGCCGCTCTCTGGGATAAACTCTCAAAACCTAGCTTTAACAGGGGAAACCTACAGGCGAAAGTCGCCAGCCCAGCTCAGGCTTGGGCGGTCAGCGTCACCCACATCTTTTACGCTGCATTCGGGGAACTTTCCTCCGGAGGAACCTCGCATAGAGGCGGCTTTTCCAAGCATGTACAAATGGACAAATCCTCCCTAGCCCCAGATTTGCTGCCCCTCTCCCAGCCCCTCCTGCCACTGCCCGGAGCCTCACGAGGTTTCCATTTGGGCCTCTCTGTGGTGCCCGCACGCCCCGCAGCGGCGGCGGAGCGGGGACACGCGGGGTCAGGCCCACGGTCGGGGCGCTGCGTCCGGATTTCGCCCAGTAGCCCCCAAGCCTGCTTCCCGAGCGCAGGCGCGATCCCAGATGCAGTGATCCCGGGAACCCGGCCGCCCGAGCTGCGAGAAAAGAAGCTGTGGACTCGGGGGTCGCGGAGGAGGAGGAGGAGGAGGAGGAGCATTGGCAGCGGGCTGGCTTTTGGTCACAGCCCGCCGGCTGGTGCAGAACTTCCGCCCCTGGCCAGGATCCCATGACCCCGGAGCCAAACCCCTCCCCCTGTCCCAAGTGTCCTCCGGAGTCTAGCCCAGTCTCGAGGTCACCTGGATGCTGGCTACCAGTCCTTGGGCCCAGCTCCCTCGCTCCCTCTCAGCACCGTAGACCTAGAGCTCGGTCGACATCCCCTCCCCAGGCAGGCGTTACCCCCTTTTCACCTCCCCTAGCTGCGGCCGTTCCTCAAACGGCCGCGACTTCTGGCCCACCTTCTCCCACCTGGACGTGCCTAGCGACCGCCGCCTCAGTCTCGTACGCCGCGTACAAGAAACTTTCTTCTCTGTCTCTCACGGTTTCTAGCCTCCCTCCCTCTCATCTCTCTCTTTCTTTTCTTAATCCTGGGGTTTAATGGGTCGAGCATTAAGAAAATTCTCTGCAATTTGGGATTAGATAAGTACTCTCATGGGGGTGGGGGGGGAGGAATCTTGCTACTTGACACCTCCCAACTTCCCCGAGACCGTGACAGCATCTGGAACGGAGAGTGTCGGACTCCCGCGTGGAGGGCCCTGGGGACAACCTCAGCACATTCCAGCGCGCACAGCCTCCCCTCTTTGCCGCGCGGGACCTCTGCCGGGTGCGGCAGCTGTAGACGAAACACGGCTGGGAGAAGGCAGGAATGCAAAGGGTTGCGGGGCCGCGACTAGGACAAGCGCTCGGGCCCGGGAGCCTAACCCCGGAACGGAGGGCGCAGGCCCCAGCTAAAGCAGCTAGCCAGGGATACAGACGCGGTGGAAGCGCACTTCGAGTGCTCGTACTCGTCCCTCTCCAAATTAGAGAGCTCCAACCCGAGCCTTTCCTCAGAACTGGAAGAGGAAGTGTATTTCGTTTCTTTCTTGAAACCTCTGCACCTCCTCGTGGGCTCCGAGCCGCGAGCCTCGCGGGCTAATCCCTGCGGGGCCGTGCGCTAGTCTAAGGTGTGTCCGGGTTCCGGCCAGCGCTGCGCTCTGCGCAGTGTCTTTCCCTGTTAAGCCTTTCTCTTTCTCGTGTTTTTCCTTTTCTCTCGTTCTTTTATGCAGTTTTTTTCCCTCTCTCTCTCCCTTTTGTGAATGAGCTGCGGTGTCTTTGTTGTGAAGAGAAGCACCCGTGTCGCTGACTTTTGTGAACCAGAGAAGGATCTTGTAAAACCTCCTTTCTCCTTCGAACTCCCCCTCTCCACCCCTCCTCCTCTGCCCCTTTGATTAGATGTTCCCTCATCGTCCAAAAAAATGTAATTTCGTTGGTCTGGCGGCCACTTTCTTTGAACATTAGCTCGCTTTCAGCTCCAACTTCAATTAGAAGGAGTTGATTTTGAGAGATCAACAAAAGAACCGACCAAAGCCTTATTAAAGGTCCTAAGAAGATCTCCCGGGTTCTTTGAGAAGCAGTTAAGGAAACTGTGTGCCCTCCATCATATTCTGTTACCGTATTTTATTCGGACTCCAAAGGAAAGTGTCTCTTGGGGGAGGGGGAGGCACTTTGATGAGCGGCGGCCGCGGCCCCTTTTCGCTCAGCGGGTTCCCCAGTCCTTCTCCACCTCCTCCTCGCCCAGGACCCGGTCAGCTCCCGGGGTCCGACCCGGCGGCCGGGGCTGCACCGGCACTCCCCACCGAGATGCGCCTGGCAGCTCCCCGACTTGCCCTCACACTGCTGTTCAAACTTTTCACTCCGCCAGTTGGGGTGGAGGGGAGGGGGGATTAGGAAGAAGGGATAGGAATTCCTCGAAAGGGAGTAAAGTCGTGCTAACATTCAAGAGGAGGTGCCATTTAAAAGAATTGCCATGCCCAGGATTGGAGCGAAACACTTTCTGCGCTTTGAAAAGTACACCTAGGTAGTAGACGCGTTTGAGAAGTTTGCTCGGCTGGGAAATGGACTTCTCCGGTACGAACAATCCGGGGACACCGCCTCTAGGAGGCTCTTTTTGCTTCATGTGGAAAAGAAATTGAGTGCAGGGGTCTGTTTTCTACCAAGGACGGTCTGGTAGAGGAGATCGGGAAGGAGACAGAGTGTGAAAGAGAAAGTTTCCTATACAATTCTTTCGATTCAGAAGTAGAGTGCATGTGTAAGTGGGAGGAGACGCTCGACTCCAACATTTTAGAAGGAGCATTTGGGATTTGCAAACACCCTTCGAGGGGCTGGGAGCCTCAGGAGGCGAAGAGGAGCAGGTAAGTGGTTGTGCCACCCCAGCGGGTTCTTTCCCAGGCGCGGGAATCCCGAGGCGCCGAGGCGGGATCAGAGCACTGGAGCCGCTCCGGCGCTCGGCAAAGTAGCCCGTGCCTGCTCGAGCCGCCCGCGGCGTCCGTCTGCAGGTGGTGGCGCGGTGGGAGAGGACGCTGGGGCCCGCGGCGCCGCGAGGGGAGTCGAGGGCCCGCTCTTCTCCACTCCGTGGCGCGGAGTCCTCGCGCTCTCCAGCCGGCCGCGGCAAGCGGGAGAGTGAGGGAACCGGTTCTCCGGCACCTCGCCTCCTCGCCGCCACTCCCTCTGGAGCGCAGAAAGGGCGAGAGAAAGGCGGGGGCTCTGGGGCGGCCTCGCGACCGGCGTCTCCCTCCGCGGCCCGGGCTGCAGCGCTGCGTTCTTCTTCCTCGCCTGGCTCTAAGCGGCATTTGTCAGCCAAACCCCGGAGTTAGCGCGCGACCGGGACGGGGCGGGGCGGGCGGGGG